TTGCCATGGCCATCCTCTGAGGCTGAGAGAGTGTGATTTGCCCAAGGTTGGCTTCTGTGGCTGAGCTGGGACTGGAACCCTGGTCTCCAGAGTCTCCCAAACCACCACACCAATCTTGCCAGAGAGCAAAGACCCGGTTGAGTCCAGTGGGGCTACTTTTGGAATGGATGTGTTGTGACAGGACTCCTATGTAAATGCATTGTAATTCCCCACCAATATTACTACTACTAATATTAATAATGGAGCCTTTCTTAACACTATAGCATCCACCAAAGGCCCCCAGTTTGGGTGAGACCACAAGAGGTATCCCAGGTCTGGCATGGAGGGAAGATTAAGGGACCCCCATTTTCTTTTGCCCATATGGACATGCCCCCCCAAAAATAATAAATTTTAGCACTGTTGAACTAGAAGCAAAGAAAAGTCAAAGGAATTGAGGATAAGCAAGAACCAAATAAAGTCCACAGCTTCCTCTTCCAGTGCCTTGCCAACACTTCTCAAGCTGAGGGGCAGCCACTTTATTCTGCATGATGGTAGGGCTGATCTTTGCTTTGAAGAAAGAAAAAGTTGGCAACGGTTCGGAGGATGGTGGAAGATCATTTGTTGTTGTTGTTGTTATCTACCCTCAAGTGGATCTCAACCATGGTGACCCTGTAGTTGAGACATCTCCAAGATTCCCTGTCCTCCATTGCTCTGCTTAGTTCCTACAAATTCATACCAGTGACCTCTTTTATAGAGTCCACACACCTAGCATGTGGCCTTCCTCTCTTTTTGCTTCCCTCCACCTTTCCCAGCAATATTTTCCAATGAATTGTACCTTCTCATGATGTGGCCAAAATACGACAGCCTTAGTCTAGTCATCTTGGCTCCCAGAGAGATTTCTGGTTTGATCTGCTCTAGGACCCATTTGTTTGTCTTTTTGGCTGTCCACGGAATCTTTAGCACTCATCTCCAGCATCTCAAATGAATTGATTTTCTTCCTATCTGCTTTCTTAACTGTCCAGCTCTTGCATCCATACGTGGTAATAGAGAATATAGGGATTCTGAAAAACAAGCCTGTGGGCCACAGTGAGAGGAATGGAAAACAAGGCTGCTGGTATGAAGGAAGAAGAGGCAGGTGGAACTGGTGGAGACAGTGGTAATAGCATCAGATGGTGGCAAAGAATAAAAGGTACAAGGAGCTCTTTACAAATAACAAAGTATATAGGGAGATGGGGGACAAAAGGCTTAGGAGTAGGAAGTGTTGGTGACAGAAGTGTAGGGCATGTGTTGGGCCTTTAGCAGGTCAAGAGCACTCCCTGAAGGTGGCAGTCTGGGGGAGACAGTGAGCGGCATCCCAGGTCTGGCATGGAGGGAAGATTGAGGGACTCCTGATTTCTTTTGCCCATATGGACACATTCCCCCTGAAGTTAGATGGTTTAGCACTGTTGAACCAATCTGCAATGCACTCAGAAAAAGAGATACAGAGACAACAGACTTCACCTTACAAAGGGATCTTGTAGCAGCTTTGAGACTGACTGAACAATATAAATTGGTAGCATGAGTTTTCATAGACTAGGAAAGCTCATGCTACCAATTTCTTTCCTTAAGTTAGGGCCTTTGCAGACTGCCAGAAATAGTGCAAATTGAGTCCACTTTAACTGCCCTGACTCAGTGCTAGGGAATCATGGGAACTGTAGTTTATTGTGGCACCAGAGCTCTCTGACAGAGAAGGCTCAATGTCTCAGAAAAAAATACAGTTCCCATGAATCGCTAGCACTGAGCCATGGCAGTGCCTCAATTTAATGTGCACTATTTCTGGCAGTCTGCAAAGGCCCTTAGTCTCAAAGATGCTAAAAGAGCCCTTGCATACTGATTTTCCAGACTAACATGGTTATACCTTTGAAGACTTCATCCTCTTTTTCTGCCCACTCACAGAGTCCCATTTAGGATAAAGAGCTACAAATAAGGATCAACACCAGTATTATTGCATAAAACAAGACAGGTCAGGCATTTGGTTTTCCAAGAGGAAGCTTCTTGGAAAGAATCAGAGGAAGAAAGTCACTGGGTTAATGCAGAGATTGCAAGGGAGGTTGTGGTGTAAGAGAAGACCACAGATGTTGCCCTCAACAGCATAGAGGAAGGGTGGAATAAAAACTGTAAAATCAAGAAAAGCTATCACCACTAACTTCATTGTAGTTAGAAATCTACTCCTGGAGAAGTTCCTTTGTTGGATTCCAATTCTCAGGATCCCTTAGTGGCACTGCTGGCTGAGGATTCTAAGAGCTGTAGTCCCAAAAAGTAATTTCCAAGATCTGGTGAATATTAAATATTACTCAGTGGCGGTCAGGAGTTGCTTAGAGCATCAAAATGAAATTTGACCTCTCCTGCCATGTACAGAGCAGCCAGTTTCCTTCTTGACACATGACATTTCTTTACCCAGGTCATCTGCCCTTCCCTCACCATTTCCTCAGCCCTTTTTCTTTCCTCCCTACTCATACACTCATTTGTTACTCAACTGTTGTGAAAGAGAGAGAGCTGCCAAGTCAGACTCTGGGGCCCCTGCCCCCCCCCCTTGGGATAGTCCTTCCTAAAAATCAGGGTGACCATGCAGCTTCAGTTGGAGCCTTCAGACTGCAACTCCCAATTGCAACTCCCAAAACATACATTTTTTAATCCTGCTGGAAGGAGTAAATGCTCTGAATTCCTTCTCAGGAAACACAATTTTTAATTAAACCAGGGATTCAGGAAATTGCTGCTAGACTGTCACACTCACACTGTTGGATAAAGAGGGGAAGCTCTCTCTCTCTCTTTTCTTTTTTACATTTCTGATTTCTTTGTCCCACTTTTTCATTTTGAATTGTTTCCAGCTAGATTAGCAGTAACTTGGTTGACATTTCTCCCAAATGTTATCTCACCTCGAATTGCAGGAAAAAGGGTACTCAACCTAAGATAATGGAGCAGAGGACAGTATAGGAGAATTTCGGCACAGAATAAGTAAAGAGATAACACAGGAATACCTGGTTAATCTAAATGAATATAAGTCTCCAGGACCAGATGAATTACATCCAAGGGTACTAAAAGAACTGGTAAATGTAATATCGGAACCATTGGCAATAATCTTTGAGAACTCCTGGAGGACAGGAGAAGTCCCAGCTGGAGGAGGGCAAACATTGTCCTCATCTTCAAAAAAGGAAAAAAGAGGATCCCAACAATTATTGTCCAGTTATTCTGACATCAATACCAGGAAAGATTCTGGAGCAGATCATTAAACAGAGTCTGTGAACACCTGGAAGGTAATTCCTTTCAACTTGGAAAGTGACCAGTGAGGTGCCACAGGGCTCTGTCCTGGGCCCAGTGCTA